GCATCCTGCTCTGGGACTGCCAGGCAAGAGCAGCAGGTTTCCTGGGACACACACACACACACACACACTCACTCAGTACAGAGCCCTCTTGGAATGCTGGTTCTCCCAATCTGCCAGCAGCAGCCCAGGGGTGCAGCATGCCAGGAAAAAGCTGTCCAAAACACCTATGGAAACGTTCGGAAGAGCTGAAAATATGAGTTTGGGGAAAAAAAAAAACCCCACCAATCAGCCATACAACTCTTCCAGGAATATTTTAAGTGTTAGTGTAGTTGCATTCCAGTCCCTGAGTATATCTTCTATAAATAAGTATTTTAAGTCACTCTGTATAAAAATTCATTATATTACTCAAGTGCAGTGCAATGCTTCCCATTTCAGACCTGCAGGCTTCCAGCCAAAATTGCTGCTGATTTTTAAAACTGTGCCGTGTTACCTAGGGCATGGGTTTTTTTTTCAGGTGCTTTCCTACAAACACATTTATTCTGTATTATAACATCAGGTCTCTACCGATACATCAAGCCCTGTGGATTAACACACCTTTATTCACAACCCAACAACAATGGGTTTATTTTAAAATCTATGCGTTTTTTCCCCCTCTTTTACAGGCAAACAAGCAAAAGAAAATACATCAGTAACTCTGCATGCAAAGTAACTCTCTCAAGAACTAGGTATTTTTGTCATTGACAAAGCCACAGTACGTCCCACTGGCAGCGATTTCTGGGAGCTCTGTTTGAGCAGAGCTCAGGGCTGCCAGGACACAAGTACTGCACGTAACAAGCCAACTACACTGCAGGCATGCCAAAGCTCCCCAAAGGCCCTGCTCCTCTACAGACATGGCAAAGCAGCGTGCACAGAGAACATGGATCATCCTGCGTCCTAACCTGGGTATCCTGTTGACCCACACACTTCGACCCAATCATGCTGCATTCATAGGGATATCCAGCCCTCTTGCCATAGGGAAAACCCAGACACAGCAATCAAGCTTTTGGAAGGTTTAAAGCATTAGCAAACGGCAGGGTAGGGCTGATGAGGGCTGATCCTGCAGCCCCAGCTTCCATCCCATCAGGGATACAGATCCTTGAGCACCAGATACCCACAGAACACAGCTTAACTTTCAGAGCACAGATTTCCACCACTGCTTTACAGTACACAGACATTAATATTCACAAATAAACTCAGGCCTGCTTAATCCAAAACACACAGTACTGTGGCCAAGCATGTGTTTTCTTTGGAGAATAGACCAGACACTCCGAGCCTGGCTGCCTTACTTATTTATGAAAGCCAGACTTAAGTCAACCAAACAGATAACAACCAAGCTGAAAGCCCAGTCCTCACCACAAAACCCTCCTGCTCATCACCCTGAGGTACTGCAGTCATCTCCATCAGTGAAGACATGCCTGCAGGGGTGGGTACCTGGGGCAGGTACCTGCCTGCCAGCGTTCCTCACCTCTATCAGCTAAATCAGCTTGGAGGAGCTCCGTGACTGTTCAGCAGGAATGGGGCTACATGACCCCTCTATCTCCTTTTCCATCCTTTACAGCTTAGGCTATAAATTCTTCAGGGACAGCTGTAAGCAGGAGGTCCTGGTGGAGCTGGGACCTCCGCAGGGAGCCACGGCAGTGGTTCCAGCAGCTCCGAGGTAAGGATGCTGGGTAAACCTAAAAACTGTGAAAAATGTTAATTTCTTGCAGTGGTATGCAGACTGCACCTAAGAAACTGCTTAATTGGACACGGGCAGAGGAATCGAGGCTAAAGTAGAGTGATTTGTCTCAGGGGTTTTTGTCTGGTAGTGTACTCAACACATACCATGCAATTGTAGGGGAGGTTTGGGGTGTGGGGACTTGTGAGGCCACCTGTACTGAAGTGACCATAGCAGTGGTACAGTCAGGTAAGGCTGAGACTGCCTGTGTACCAGGAATGCCAGATTTGGGTACGGATATAGCGGAGTTGAAAACGACGAGCAGAAAGTAATAAGGAGCTGTAACCTGGGAGTCTGGGCAGAGGAAGGGAGAGACTGGAGCAAAGAAGAGATGGGTCTTGAAAGAGAGAAAAAAATAGAGAATAAGGTGCAATATAAAGAAAAAAGGAGAGTGAACCTTCTTCCGGTAGGAGCAGGGGCAGTTAGGGACAGCCACGACCCCAACATACCGACTGAATCCCCCAGGACAACCCACTGGACTCTCCCCCTGGTCTGTGTCCAAAAGACTTGCTGTGAGAGGGCAAACCAGGGTGGACTTGCACCCTACCACGAAGTGGCACAGGGGGGAAGGGTGAGAGATTTGCCATTCAGCAGCGGTGCCATTTGTCAGATTTAGCAGTAGTAATTACAAGCTTTAGAATCCTAAGTGTGCGAAAAGCTCTAACTGGAAATTAGTACCAGTGCTGTTTATTAGTGAATCAATTAAACAGTCAATAACTCGAGGAGCTTCTCAGTAGAGTGTTGCTTCATAATCAGCTGCAGCTCCAGCAGGCACCCCAAAGGGGCTGGATCAGCCTAGGGCTCAGTAGGATCCCCTGGCCCGGGGGTTGGGGCTGGATGCTGACCAGGCTCCTTGGTGGAGAGGTTAAGCCTGCGTGGGCAGAGGCAATCTGGGCTTGTGTTACACGTCTGCACAACACCGACCCACCACCGAAAACTGTGCATGCCACCGCCACAGCGTGAACACACCACTGGCCACGCTTTTAATAACTTCTAATAATAATCTGGGATAAAGAGCTTAGAAGTTGGAAGTGCCTGTGTAAAGCACACCTGCAATTAAAAGGGACACTCCTCAACCACACCACGTCAGCAAGAGCAGAGAGCTGGCCAGGAAGGATGGGGCCTTCCACGCGTCCTCCCACTCTTTGAGCAGGACTGACCTAAATCCTTCCCCTTTCAGATTCCAGTGACAGGAGGAAAATGAGCTGGTCTCATTAATTTCCCCTCCTGCTGCCTGGTGAACTTGTCTGCAGTAAAAAAAAATAAAAAAAATTATTCAAAGCTATGCTGGTGACCTGGCAACTCAAACCTTCTGTGGAGTAAGAGGCACAAATGACCTGCTGCAGCATCGCTCTCCCCATGGCCAAGCTCTGCGCTCGCCTCCCAGAGCTCCTCAAGTTATTCAGCTGTGGACTTTCTGAAGATCCAGTTAGGACACCAGCAAGGAAACTGTTCCTCTGCAGGGCAGTTGATGCAACAGAAGGGCATGTAGTCCATGGACAGCTGGTGGCTCAGAAGGGACTTCTCTGATATGCAGGAGACCCTGAGACTGCCATTCTGCATGACACAGGCAATGCCACCAGCTCCTCCCTGCAGCTTCCTCGGAGCCTCACTGGAGCCAAGTACTCCAGGACACCCTATTTTCCTGTGTTTTCCAGAGTTCAAGTTGATTTTTTAATCTGACAGTAACAGTAGACGCCTATAAAAAAACCCCACAGTGTCCTGAGCAGCTCCAGAGTCTAAAATAAACATGCCAAGTCCTGTTTGTGATGGAGTAAAAATAGCTTGTTTCTCATACCTTCCCAGGACCTCTGCTTCATACACAAAAGCTTTACAGGTTAACTACAAAAATATCAGCTGTGCAAGGATTGTCTTGATTTGAGCTCTGCACTGTTTCAAGAGTTCAGAAAACCACCTTGGCCTCGCAGAGAAGGGATGAACCCTCAAAGCTCATCTCCCGCCCAGGGCTAAAGGCCAGGCACTGCCAATTCCCTTTAATAGAAACTACTGTCCTTCTGGAGAAAAAAAAAACCCAAATAAAAAAAAAATCCACAAACGTCACTGGAATTACATCTTGTGCTCTTTCTTGGCTGGATACTTTTTAAATTACACTAACTGTAAAATCTAGTGCAAAGCTGTGCTGCAGCTGGGACGGGCTCCCCAGGAAACGGAGCAAGCACAATCTGCATCAAAAGGAGAAGAGAGACTGTGGCTGGTCTGGCTCGCCATAAGAAATACCACTTCATAGCAAGTTCTGCTAAATTAACTTTTTCCCAGGGCCTAAATGTATCTCACCTGGCACCTGTGATGCTCAGGCCCGAAAAGAACAGAAAAACAAGAGAGCAGCACAGCAGGAAAGCCATCACGACACTGAGTTTAATCATTACATCATTTATAATGACAGCTCCTCTGGACCCACAAGCAAGGGCCAACCTATTTATGACTTAGGCTTAAAAAAGGGCCAGAGGAGAATCTGCAATGCATCTGAAGCGTGCTGGTATTTATACAGGCACTAAAAGGCACCCAGGGAAAAGGCCAGGCGTGCCTGTCCCCAGCCCCGCGGGCCAGGCTCGCAGGAGCCACCGGCCCCAGGAGCCTTCCCAGAAACAGCCAGCACATCTCCCTACAAGGCAGTGGTGCCAGTGGCACATGGAGCCGTCCATCTGCTGCTGCCCAGGAGCAGACACTGGGTCCAACCCACCCCAGACAGCACAAGGTAAGGCACTGGTTGTGGGACCCCCAGAGACCACCTTCACCTACAACCACCACGCTCCGGCACCAGCTCCACGGTCACTATCAGGATTCATCTGCATAAAGTTGGGCTCAAATTGAGGAGGCATAAATTAAGCAGCAATTTGTGGCTTTGGGTGAGACACAGAGACATCTCAGAAGAGCTCTTAACACAGCCACACTCATTTGAAGTGACAGGGACAAGAAAAACTAATTTGCCTGCTAAATACTGATTTAGTTTAGTTGGTCACATAAAAAAGCTCTACATTTTTACTTCAGATAATGTCCTTTACCATGCCCACATCATGTTAAAGGCCAATGGGATCTGTTACACAGGTCTCTAAAGTTTCCACCTCTTCATTAAAGTCAATCTTGCACCTTGCTTTGAGTCAAAGACTTCAAGAGATGGGAAAGCCATTGTCTCGCTCCAGCTACTCCTTCCCATTATTAAGCACCCTAGTAAATAAATGAGGGAAAAAAAATGCACCTTTCCCAGATTTTACATTATCTGGCTGCCTTCCCCTCTTGTTATACACAGACTTTCATCATCTATGGTCAAAACCATTTCAGAGAACAAGGAGAGTGATCTGTAGCTTTCCAGCCCTCTTGTCCCACCTGCCTACACACTGTCACTGAAGGGTCACCTCACTAGATGCTTCAAGGTAAAAAACACAGCTTGTCTTATTTACATTAATATTTTGTGTTACTGGTACATAAATGCTGCTGCTTTCAGAGGAAGCTTCTCTCAAGTCCCCTGCTCTCCTCGCCTGCCATCACTTCGCATTCTTTCAGCTTATTCTGAAAGGGCAGGACTCCTGGAAAAAAATTTTCTTATTCTTACCTGGTAGGCACTAGTATGGCAGCTTGTGGGGAATCCTGGCTGGGCTGGGATCCCTGGTATAGAACAAGAAACTGGCTGAGAATGGAGGCCCTGGTCCTGACCACGTACTGATGCATCCTGAGAGAGCAGAGGAGCAGCAGGAGAAGAGCTGTCCCGTGGGAACAGGGAACACTGTCTCATGAGAAGGAGGACTTGTTTTGAACAGAGTGACTGAGAAAAATATAAACATCAGAGGAAAACAGGGACAGGTGCACAGAAATGTTGTGAGAAAGTAGGACTGAGAAAGTCCAGAGAAAGTCCAGCTAAAATCTACCTATTAGCTGTGAGAATTGTAGTTTGTGTATTCAAGCTGACCTATCTGTGTGATACACGTGTACAAAAAGAACTGTATTTAAGAGGCTGTAAATCGCAGCTCGTGGCTGCTGCTGCTTCCTTATTCTTTCCAATAAACTTTCTTGCTGAATATTATATGTCGTAGTCCGTCCCAACAACGACAGCAGCTCAGTCACCAAACAACTGACATGCCAATAGTCTCACCTGTATGTGCAACCCAGGATGCTGGATCACACTTCCACCCTCTAATGCAGTGCATCATGCTTCCTTCCTACACTGAGGCACTTTTCCTCCTATTCAGTGGCCTACGAAGATCTCAAGGGATCACGCAACACAGAGCCCGTGAGCAGCACTCATTCCTCAACGTTGGTAAAGACTTGGTAACTCAAAATTCTGCAGAGAAAAGAATGGCTGAACCTTCTTCCTGACTCTTCCTCGCTGGCCAGATGTTCCCTGTCCTGCTTGAAGATCCGCAGCAGCATCACAGCCAGCTTCATGGTCATTTTAAGCTGGTGTTACTTCCCAAGGAAGCATTTCCACCTCTCCCATCCCACTCCTCTCTTCCCTTTGTGCTGGTACAGGTGTTACAGCTGCACAGAAAAGTGGATGTGGGAACTGACACACATTAAAGGAACGCAGCAAGAGAAAGAAGAGGCCAGTTTGCATCTGGCTCAGCTTCCTGGTTGGATGCAGGGTCTGCAGGACCACTTCTCTTTTCCCGTACACCACCACAAGGAAAAGGCAGGACCTCTTCTTCCTTCCAGCAGCACCAGCTCAAACCAACCGAGAAGCTGAGCACACCAAGCTTGGACCCTGCTGTCCTTGCAAGAGCACTGCACAAAGACACCAAGGAAAACCCAAACAATTCCAAAGATAGAGAGAAAAAGAAATTAAACTGACTTTAGCTGGACTTCTCCCATTCATTTCCCACTATTGTCCTAACCAGCACCCAAGCAGCACATACTGAGAGCAAGGGCCACCTCCCACAGCCAGCTGCATCCTGGTAGCAGGCAGCACAACTCCCTTACAGCAGCAGTCTCCTGACTGGATCTATTCCACATTAATAGTCTGCTTGAGCACTTCTGGGCAAACTGCAGCAAGCAGGCGAGTGACCTGACGCAGGTTGCTTTTCAGCCACTAAGCCACTTAAAAAGACATCTAAAAATACATGAAATGCTTTTCTCATGTGACTTTTCTAAGCGAGGGACTGCTCGAAACCCTGCCAACCACAAATGGAACGCGATGCCATGGCAAGACCTCTTTCCTGCACCAACAGCCTCCACATCAACAACTTGTTTGAGTCCAGGAGACCAGCCTAAGATAAAAACCTGGAGCATTATGCTTGGCAGCATCAGCTCCTGATGTAGCACCGTTCTCCCCACAGGGCTGTGCTTCCGTTCAGGATCACCACCCAGATGGGGAGCTGCAATGTTTTGCTGTGTTTCTGCTCCAGAAGGATCTTTAACTAGTTATACCCAGAAGAGTAAAAATGTATACTTCTCCCCACCAAGCCTGAAGAAAAAAAAAACTTCCCAGCTCTGCTGACACAGGTAATTCCTCTCCACTGAGGAGAGGAGGTAAATAGGGCAACTGTTTGCCTTTGAAAGTGCTTTGCAAATCAGTTCAGCTGGCTGCTGCCACAAAGCCCAAGCAGGAAGACACTGGCCACTTCAGTTACTTCAGCTGATTCTCAAAAGCCTATGTCCTTACAGTAGATTTACATCAAATTTCCCATCAAGACTCTTCCTCCACTCCCAGAGGGGAGCAGAGAGCTTTTCTGCTCTTTTGAGATGTGGACCCACGTGCTTACAAGTTTCTGTACATGCCTGTGTCTGCCTCGAACCAGAGCAAATACTGACACTAGGAAATCCAAGGTGTCTGCTCCTGGATCAGTTCAGGCTGCAGAGCTGAGCCATGTGCTACTGGAGCTGAGGGTGGCTCTTCCTTGCTCCAAACCAGACACCTCGCCGAGTGCCCAGGCAGCCCCAAGCTTCAGCTGACCTTTTCCAGTTGGCACAGCCTACGACTGCTGGTCCCAAACAGGGCTTGGAGTCAGCTGCACAGAATTCACTGAGAATCATAGTCACTGCTTAAAGAAGAATCTCACTCTGAACACTTGCCTAGGGAGTCAGCTTAGCCAGCCTCAATTCCCATATATGACCAGAAATGAGGACTTCAGCACGTGAAGCTTTTTGCTGGGCTCCCAGCTGGAGTGACCACGCCACACACTACACCAGTCCAAAAGGCACTCACTGGGCAGAGCTCTGCACCCAGCCTTGCTCTCCACGTTCTCCCTCATGCTGGTGGTGGACTGCTTTTCCAGCAGGATCTGAGCTGACCAACTCATCATAAAAACACAGGTACGTGTGGCCAAGGTGTGCCTTCAGAACTGCCCCTATCTGCAGTACCTCGATTTCATCTTAACTTCAGGGAAAAAATCAAACCCTAAACCTCGCTGCCTCCTCTGTTCCCTGCCTTTCTTTGTGGCGCAGGGGAGAAGCTGCCTCAAACGATCTCCTGAAGCATCATATCAAGCCAAAGGTTTTGAACCAGCGTGTGAACAGACTGTAAGAAATCCATAAAAAGTGCAGAAAGGCTTACCTGGAGGCGGCAGGATTAAGTTCCCCATACAAAGTTATGCACCTCCAGGGGAAGCTTTAGGAGCCCACAATTCAGGGGAGAGAAAAAGGCTGGAGGCCGCTGAGCTGGGTCACGCTGGAGCAAAGCACACAGCACCAGGATGCAGCGCAGAGGTCTGCAGGAAACAGCTTCTTCCTGTGACAGCAGGACAGCACCACGACCCCTCTCCCTTGGGATACCCACGGGCCAGGCACAGCTGACTGCCAGCCCAGGCTGAGCTCACACAGCCACGTCCAGTCACCGCGGCGCCAGCGAGAGGTGCACAGCCCTACCTGTCCCGGCAGGTCCCGGCTCTGACCCGCCACTGCTGGGGCAGGGGAAGCAGGAGGTGGAGGAGAGCAGCACTTGCACCATTCCCACTTGACCCAACGACCAGGACATTGGAGGAGCTTTGGTGGAGCAGCACAGAAGGAAGACGAGGGTCAGGATTCCAGTTTCCAGGAATAATGGGCGTGCAGTGCGGTGATACCAGCGCTGGGACACTGGTTTGAGGGGAGGGTGGTGACTGAGCCACATCACAGGCTGTGTAGTGCTTCTAGACTGAAGGAGCTCTCTGATCAAGACTTTGAGCAAACCTTCTCACGCCCGAATTAGCTGAGGTAATCACGGAGTACTTCCCTGTGCCACGTCCAGCACACAGAACTGCACACAACTTTTATCCTGCCTTATCACCATTACAGCACAGGGGAGCACCGCTGCCTTCTCAAGGCTTTAGTTCCACAATATACAATTTTACATCGTTGCCAGTAGCAAGCAAAGCCCTTTTTCATGTTAGATTCGACTGCAAAGTTTTCATGAGGCTACAAAGCCCTGTTATACTTTTTTTACAGTTTAGTGCCAAGGGTTCGTGAGTTTTGCATGCAACATGTTGCTTTAGTTTTCTCTGGACATTTCTGAAGGGAGATTTGTATTTATCCTTAACAATTGTTGTTCTTAGGGGTTCAAGTTTCTTACCTCCCTAAAGGCTGACCTCTGATATACAAACAAAATTTTATTCTAAGATGTGATGAAGTCTTTCCTGAAAGAGCAATCAGCACAAGGCTGCTGGCATATGGATAAACATAAAGCAGTGGCTTCACAAACACCACTGCAAACACAAAATTCCCTGTGCAGGGAACACAAAGTTTCCCATTTTGGCCAAAGAGTTCACTCTAGATAACTGAACTGATACCATACAAACATGTAAGGTGCCACGGCACAGACTTCTGTGTTAGATTACATGACAAAGTTAGTCCAATCATTCTGTATTACTGCCACCAACAAAAACATTAGTGCCCAGCCTGAAAAACACCTGATCTGACCTAGACACCCATTAAAATAAGACTGACTGCCCTATTCCTGATGCTTTATTCCACACAGGATGGACAGGTATGTGTTGTGATCACGCTCCAAAACTTGCAGGACCACTTATACACCTCATGCTACAGCTACTCTGTGCACAAACACCACACAGCAGAAGCTTTCAATGAACTCAAAGTGAGAATTAATAAATCAATAATACAAGTTGTTTGCACCCATTAAGTTCAGCTGATGCCAGTACTACTGAAATTATACTTTCCAACATGTCTTAAAGCATGCGCTACTGTACAGCGTGCAAGAGAAAGGAAAGATGTCAAGGAGTTTTGGGAGAACATTGGCAAAGGGGGCTTTGAATTTTAGGAAAAATACCAGAGGAAGATTCTTTGAACCAGCACAGTCCCACCCTCATCTCCAGGACAGTCTTTACCTGCATCTGTAGAGGCAGAAGTCTGATTTTTTAGAGAAAAAGAGACACAGCTACACTGATTCTGTGTAGCTTTCCAAGAGGATCCTATGAAGTTGAACTGAGAGAAGGTTTTAGAATAACCACCTTTTATCCCCTAATTCAGGCCCCAGGCACTATCATAAAAATTCCATTAGAAATATTTCCTTTGGGGTGGGGAAACACCATGCATGGTCTGTCATGCAGGAATCAGCTCCTACAGCACAGAGGCCTCACAGAGGTCAAGATCTAACCAGAAAGCCTAAGGGACTCGAACAGGGAATCACTACAACCTCAAATATGCTTCTTACTACCCACCTGGATGCCCACATCCATATAAGGCCTTCCTGTAGGAATCCCAAGAGCCACAACACAAAGATAACAGATCACACCTTAACACTTCTGCACATTATTTCAGCAACACTTAGAGAAGACCTGATGAAACTTTTTCCTAGAAATTCCCAGCTAGAGACCAGCACTGAAGAGCTGCTTTAGAAAAAAAGTTTATAGGAGAGGCACAGAAGCCCTGCTGGAAAAACCCAACAACTATTTCCATCCCGATTAAAGAAGAATCTGAACAGCATCTTGGACTGCTAAATAACCAAGGACTAGGGACAGGAATCTCAGTCCCTTCTCCCCTGAAATTGAGAAGTCCCAAAGAAGCCACACATGCAAGGAAGTCCTTTCAGGGACTCATGGAAGCTCTGGGAAGAGATGTGTTTCCTGATGAGCGTGAAAGAGTCCATCTGGGGGC